AGGGGTGGCTGCCTTGTCCTAGTTCTCAAACACAGAAGGAAACATCCCCAATAGAAAGAAGAAGTGGTCTCTACCGTCAGGCACCCCCCTCCCCACCTTTCAGCCCTCCAGAAAGCTCCCCTCCCTCCAAGCCAGTTTGATACGGAGCTCTGTGCCTGCCAAACGACCACTTTTCTTGAGATAAAGAAATTGCCTTCAGAAAGCTGATGAGTAAGCAGGGGATGATGAGAGAGAGAGAGAGAGGTGTAACTCCCAATAGATAGAAAGCCAGAAAAGAGATAGAGCTGTCTCTTTTCTGGCTAGCATCCCATTTCCCACTTCCAGGCCCTGAGGCTTAGCTAAATCAAAAACAAAAATGAAAAAGACATCTGGGGTACACCACTGGGCATCCCAGCAGTATCTAAGCACTTCCTTATGAAGCAAGTTACTATTATCAATAAACCTAAGGAAACCCAGAGCCTCCAATAAAAAAATCTGTGTTCATATTACCTGTTAACGTAGCAAGAGAAATGTGTAATATATTTTAGAAGGATTTATATTAAAAAATGGTTAAAATATTGTAAATGAGAACTTTCAGGTGTTGGAGTGAAGAATTTTTTTTTTGTATCCACTTCTTTTAAAACACACACACACACACACACACACACACACAATAATAAGTACGTTATATACTTATGTTAGAAGGCAATAAATGTTATGGGAAACAAAAAGGCAAGCAAGATATGAAGAATTTGGAATTCCAGGGATAAAGGTTCAAGTTGCAGGGTTAAATGGAGTGGTCAGGGTAGACCTTATCAAGAAGCTGAGAACTGAGCAAAAACATTGCTGGAGGAGAGCGAGTTAGCTAACAGATTTTCAGGTGAGATTTGCTTCACCAAATGCTGGCGATCACAGTTTATATGAATGTCAGCTGAAAAGCCAAAGCCAAAAGAAAAGGAAATAGGCACGAGAATAAGCTAGTGTTTCCCTTCAGAGAAAACACTAGAAAGAAAATCTTTATTTGATTGTTTAAAGAACAAGAGCGGGGCCAATATGGCTGGATAGGAGAAATTGAGGGAGAAAGTGGAGCGGAAACATTCAGAGAGCCAATGGGTCCAGATCCTGTACAGCTCATGGGTCACTTTAGCTTTTACTCTGATTAAAATAAGGAGCCCATTGTAGGTTCTGGATAGAGGAGCTATAAGATCTGGAGATATATATATGATGAGAGAGAATCATCGATCAGCTGCCTCCTGAACATGCCCAACTGGGGATGTGCCCGCAACCAAGGTACATGCCCTTGACTGGAATTGAACCTGGGACCTTTCAGTCCGCAGGCTGACGCTCTATCCACTGAGCCAAACTGGTTTCGGCTGGATTATATTTTTTAAAGATTCTTCTAGCTGCCATGTTGAAGAGTCTTTTACAGTAATATAGGCAAGAAATGATAGCTCAGACCAGGGGGGTATCAGTGGATGAATGATAAAAAATTGGATTGCGGGTATATTTTGAATGTAGAGATTATAGGTTTCCAAATGGATTCTATGTGGGAAGTGGGAGAAATACTTAGGCAACAAAGAGTTGCTACCTAGTGGGAAAGGCCTTTTGCAGGGATAAGAAGTAGTTCAGTTCGGAGCATGCTGAGTTTGAGACACTATCAGATATCTGAGTGGAGGTGCAGAATAAGCAGTTGAGGTACTAGTCTGGAGTTCCAGATGGAACTATGGGCTGGAGTTTTGACAGAGACTTGACTTGGGGTGGTGAAAGCACAATACAGTGTACAGATAATGTATGGTAGATCTGTGCTCCTGAAACCCTATAATTTTGTTAACTAGTATGTCACCCCAATAAATTCAATAAAGAAGAAAAAAAAATAAATTTGGAAGTTTAATCACAGAGATGAAATTTAAAGTAATAAGACTAGAGGAGGTCACCCAAGGAGTAAGTGTAGGTACAGAAGAGGAACAAAGGCTGAGTGAGCCCAGGAGTCCTTTAACTTTAATTGGTCAGGAAAATGAGGAAATGGTGAAGGAGTCTGGGAAGGAGCAGCTAGTGAGGCAGGAAGAGAACTTCAAGAGAATATGGTGACCAGAAAGCCAAGCGAAGAAGGATACTCAGAAGGGGTGATGAACAGTGTCTAGTGCTGCTGCTGGGTCAAGGAAGACAAGGATGGAGAATTTACCATTAGATTTAGCAACAAGGAGTTCACTGACATAACGGCAGTTTCTGTGGCGTCATAGGATAAAAATCTGATTGAAGTGGGTTATAAGGGCAAGGGGGGAGGAAATTGAAGATAGTCAATAAAGACAATTATTTTCAAGAGTTTTGCTGTTAAAGGGAGGGATAAAATGTCCTTGAGTTGAGGAGATGGAATTTAGTGCAAAAATGGAGGGATTGCTTTCAGTGTAATAGCATGGATTATTCTTTTATTTATTATTTATTATTTTTATTAAAAATATTTTTACTGATTTCGGAGAGAAAGAGAGAGAATGAAATATCAATGATGAGAGAGAATCATTGATTGGCTGCCTCCTGCATGCCCTCTACTGGGGATTAAGCCCACAACCCAAGAATGCGCCTTTGCCTGGAATTGAACCTGGGACCCTTCAGTCCGCAGGCGGATGCTCTGTCCACTGAGCTAAACCAGGTAGGGCTCTTACTATTTTTTAAAATGTATTTTTATTTATTTGAGAGAGGAAGGGGGAGGAAGAGACAGAAACATCAAGGGTGAGAGAGAATCATTGATCAGCTGCTTCCTGCATGCCCCACACTGGGGATCGAGCCCATAACCCCGGGCACATACCCTGACTGGCAACAGAACTGTGACCTCCTGGTTCACAGATTGATGCTCAACCACTGAGCCATGCTGGCTGGGCTCTAGTCAGCTATCTTTTTTTTTTTTTTTTTAATATATTTTATTGATTTTTTACAGACAGGAAGGGAGAGTGATAGAGTCAGAAACATCGATGAGAGAGAATTACCGATCAGTCGCCTCTTGCACACCCCCTACCGGGGATGTGCCCGCAACCAAGGTACATGCCCTTGACCGGAATCGAACCTGGGACCTTTCAGTCCGCAGGCCGACGCTCTATCCACTGAGCCAAACTGGTTTCGGCTTGACAGCTATCTTAATGGAATAATGATGGGTATGGATATTATAAAACCACAATGAATACAACTTTGGCCTCAATATAAGCTGGGCATCTAGAAGTGATGGGGCGTTAGCAGCCTGACACTGTTAATAAAATTAATACTTCCTAGGATAAGTAAATATGATATGGAACTGACAACTCTGTATATAAACAAAATTTAGGGGGGAAATGCTGAGGAAAAAAGATGACTGGGGGAATAAAGTACTGACAGGGCATTGACTCTGAGGGGCCAACTGCACTACACAGTTCTTTACAACAGTGACTTCGAGTCCCAGCTTCCCCCTGGGAGTCCCCACCCTGCTTGTCACCATAGAACGCCTGGGATTCCAAGGCAGGGTTCTGGTTCCTTTCCTAACCATACAAACAAAAACATTAAGAGTTTTAGCTGCAGGAGTTCATTAGGCCCATCAGTTCCGGGGGTTTGGTCAGATATCAAAGGTTTGAAAGGTAAACTTCAGTTACTAATCATAAACATGTATTGAGCTCTTAAAATGTGTCAGTCACTGGTCTAGGTCATTTTACTCGAATCATCTTAACCTTCATAACAATCCTGAGTCCTTTTATACCCATGGTACAGCTAAGGAAACTGAGACTCGGCGTGGTTAAGGAAATTGTCTAAGATTACGTTGCCGGTAACTGATGGAGCTAAGACAGAACTCTGATTTGCCAGCTTCCAAAGCCTTCCAGGCTAACTGCAACATTCACGTATTGCAGTCTGTAGCTGTGGATGTCCTCACTAGCCTAACAGAACGGATGAGGTCATATATTATCAAGTGATCTTCAAAGACACGTACATTTCAGTGAAAATGTACAAAGGCCAGATTATTTTAAGCGACTGCTCTTCTAAGGTTTTGTGCCAGAATAGCGCCTTTTAAACCGACAACTCTTTCTGGACATGGGGCTCGACCGACATTCAAATATTTTGAACCAGTCAAGTTTCGATAGAAAAGGGGGTTATTTTACAGCTCTTTTAGGTTACTTCTCTTCCATCTGTGTATTCCCTGGACCCACTGCGCCTAGCTTGGTAAGTGTTGAACAAAACATCTGTTGACTTGGAGGGATGAATAACTCACCTAGTGGATCTTTTCGAATCTCATCAGGAGCATCTCCTACAAAATCCTGGCCATGAAAACAAAGTCTCTCGCCAACACACTTTTTTTGTGTGTGTCATCCTGCTGCTTAGTTGCTGGGGGAATCTGCTCCTGATTGGGGGTGGGGGAGACAAAGGTTTGAGGAATACGTTGCCCCCCCTTGAGAAGGCAGAGAGCCCAGAAATCGGGGGACCAAAACAATACTGCAGACCGCGGGCTATGCACAACGGCGGCCTCTTTTGCAGCGGAGCGGCCCGCTTCCCTGGAGACGCCGGGGAAGCCCAGGCGTAGGCTGGGAACCAGGCGCTGAGCCTGAACGGTGGAACAGCCATGGCAGCGCAGGCATTCCACGCCGGCTGCGGCGTTGGTGGACCCAACTGAAGGCTGGGAGGGAGCCCTGTTCACCTGACACACCCCGTTCCGCCCAGATGCAGCTCAGAGCTGAGAGCGGGGCGGCGCGAAGCAGGTCAACGTGCTGAGCTCAGCGGAGCCGGAGTGGCAGCGCACACCGGGCGTCCCGTCCGTACGCGGCGCACGCGCATGCGCACGCACCCCCCCTCTGCGCCCGCCAGCCTGTGGCGCACGCGCAGTCCGTGTGCTCGCGCCCTCCCTCACTCCCCGCGGGGCCGGGACTCCGCCCCCACAGGCCACGCCCCGCTCCCGTGCGCCGAACGCTCCATATCCGGGTTCCCGCCGCCGCCGCCGCTCCCGCCGCCGCCGCCGCCGCCGCCGCCTCGCTCATTCAGCTTTGCCGGGAGTGGTGTGATTCCCGACCAAGATGGCGGCTGTGGGGCGAGTCAGCTCCTTCGGCTCTTCTCCGCCGGGATTAGCCTCGACTTACACGGGCGGCTCCTTGGCCAGCGAGCTGATCTCGGGCAACGGCGGCGCTGCCGCCGGCGACGACGAGGACGGGCAGAACCTTTGGTAACGACCCCACCCCTCTTCCCTGGGTCCCCGCTGAGCGCTCGCTCCCGGCCCTGCGGGCGGGCGCCTCGGGATCCGTGCCCGCCCGAGCTCGGCGCCCGGGCCCAGGCCACCGCGTCCTCCGCAGCCCCCGCCCAGGCGCGCCGAGGCCGGGTCCATCCCTCCTTCCCTCCGTCCCTCCCGCCCGCGCTGTGGCCTCAGCTCCCTGCCTCAGCCGTGCGCCTTGCTCCCCGTTAGGTCCTGCATCCTCAGCGAGGTCTCCACCCGCTCGCGATCCAAGCTCCCCGCGGGGAAGAACGTCCTGCTGTTGGGTAAGTGTCTCCCCCCGCCCCATCTCCCTGCACCCCCTCGCCTCGCCCCGCCCCGCCCCGCCGGGGTCCGAGCCGCCCGCCGCCGGCTCGCTTTGTGCGGACTGTGGACCCGGGCCCCGCCCCGGCCCCGCCCGCCGCCGCCGGCCTGGGTCTGACAGCTGCGGGAGCCGGAGAACCCGGACCCCCTGGCCTGGGACCTGCGGGGACCCGCCCTTTCCCGGGCTCTTCTCCCTCCCCTGGAGGTGGGGGAGGCCCTACCAGCCACCAGCCACCTCTGGCAAGGACAGAATCCGATAGAGCCTATCGGAGCGGTTCTTAGCGGCTTAGGGTGTATCTAGAAAAATAAGGATGTTTCCCCCCCTTTCCATAAAAACAAAACAAAACCGGTAGCAGGAGGCTCTTCCTTCAAAGAGCTCCAGTGCAAATGGCAATGCCATTAATATTTAATAGCCGGCTCTTTGTATAATTGACAGGGAAGCTAGACCTGGGACCTGGTGCTCGGGGGATAAATGTTCTTCTTCAGCTTTTTTTTTTTTTTTTTTTTTCTTTTTTTTCCCCACGTATCATGAGCTTATGTTGCAGCTGCCTTAACTGTCACTTAACAATTGTTGAAATTTATAAATGGCACCAGGACACCTTTGAGAGTTCAGTCCCGCGGGCCACATGGATGATGTACGGAGGGAGAATGGTCTCATGTCTCAGTTCTCCTGCTTGTTCTGTGTGTATCTTCTGTTCTCTGGAAGTTATGTATTTTTGTTTCTTTATTGATCCTGGGGGTGGGGTAGAGGACAACAATTCACAGGGTTCATAATTTTTACAGGCGTGGCTCCTGAGTCATTTACGTGAGATAGTTTTCCCTATTTTACATATAGAGGCTTATTTTAAAAGTTTGGTAGTGATGTCTCAAGACATTTTGCTGAGTACATCTAAAAATAGGAAACACGTCAAATCTATTTGAAAGGGTCTGCTTTTAATAGGAGTGTTTAGATAGAAGCAAGTTACTTCTTTTGCATGAAAGGCTGCCAAGCTAGAATGTGATTATTGAAGTTCTGTTCTTTAAGGGTTACACGTAGCTAGTGGAAAAATTCGTTTTTACCTTACTAGCTGAGTGATCTTCAGCAAATTTTTACATCTATAGACCTCAATTTCTTCATCTTTTAAAAAATGGATGTTGTAGAAATAATAATGCCTACCTCCTAGGGTAAAGGTCAAGTAATAACAGCACAGTGACTTTTTATGGTGGATTTGTTTTAACTGGATCAGAAAATATTTTATCAGAACTCTCTTTAAAAAAAAAATTGAATTAGTGCCTGCATCAGTGATATTTATATGGAAAGGATAGGTTAGGATCCAAAAGCAAAAATAAATTTTTAAAAAATCCAGGAAATACTTGAAAATTTACTAATTTAAACAAATTACTATTGATTAGCATATTAGAGTGGACTTAATGACTTCATTGAAGTGAATTATATTTAATTACTTTAAATAAGACTTCTTTTCAAATATTGCCATTGTAAAGACAAGATTCCTGAATTTTGTTTTCACTTTATAAATTCCTCCCAGTTATTCCTGTGCATTAGATATTACTTGGATGGTTCTGTTTGTCATGAAACAAAAGTGACAGTTTTGTTCACTTCTTGATGTTTTTGATTTGCACTGAAGTTGCACCATGTTTGTTTGTTTTTTAGCATGCTTTAAAAAAATACACCTGCTTTTGATACGGGTCAGTGCATGGGACTGAGTGTATTTAGAGGCCCCAGACTCTTCCATTCCTCCATACTTAGGATAGATTAAATTTCCTTTTTTGTGTGAGCTTAATAGTTTATAAAGCTCCATTTAGTATCAAGTTATACAAGCTTGAAATGCAAAATTTTTATTTGAGTACTATTGGAATTTTCATCAAAGTCTTTTTAGCTTTGGAAGAAGGTAATAGGTTTGTATACTGATTGTAGAAATATGATTAATTTCCTAAAATACCCCTAAAGATTTCTTAAGGATATTTTACTATCACATATTATGGTAGCGTTCAGTCTGTGCTGGTTGAGGGAATAAATACATAAATAGGGATTGTGGTTTTCTTGGTTATGAGTTTGAAACTGTTAGGCAGGAGGATGATTGGCCCTAATATGGCTTTCATGAATTAAGGGGCTCTCTGGAGTCCCATATTTAAAAAACCAAATCTGAGACTATATCAAGGTTTTACATTTCCAGAAACAGCCTAGAATAGGAATGATGATCAAAGCTTAATGTATCCCAGACACAAATGGCAGTTTAACCTTAGCTTGCTACTTGTCCATTGCCTATGGGAGGAAAGAGTCAGGATTGGCAATGTGTGAGCTATTCTCGAAGCATTTTCATAAAATCTTTGTTTTCCTCCTCATTCTTCTTGTTCCCACCCCCCCCCCCCCAAAAAAAAAAAAAAAAAAAAAAAAAAAAAGAAGTCCAGGAGATAGATGTTAGCGCCAGTTTTTGTATGAGGTAATGATTTTAGAGACCTTTTAAGTGAGTGTTCCAAGGTCACATAGCTATAAGATCCTGTGTTCTGTGACTCTGGCATGACTTTTCAACTTGATAGAAGTTCCTGCAAGGGAGAGTGCTATGTACTCTTCCTACTGGATAACTTTAAAAGGCTGTCTTTGGTACTGGCCAGTCTGCTCAGTGGTGAGAGCATTGGCCCTTGAACCAAAGGATGTCTGTCAGGTTCGATTCTGGTCAAGGGCCCCTGGGTTCGATCCCAGGACCCCAGGCAGGGTGTGTACAGGAGACAACATTGATGGCTCCCCTCCCCCCCCCTTCTCCCTCCCTTCTACTTCCTTTAAACATCAGTGGAAAAAATACCCTCAGATGAGGATTTTAAAAAAGGTTATCTTTGAGTGAAATTGAAATCCAAATATTTGTGGAATTCTAGGATGAAGCTTATTAAGGGACACCACTCTGGCTGTGTCACTTGTGTTTAAGCAATTATTTAATTATCTAGGCTAGGCCTGACCTCTATCAGAATGCCCAAACACTGTGACATTAGTGGTTAACCATTGAGAAAGAGCTTCTGCAAAGTTTGTTTTTGAACATTAAAGGCAAAACGTCTTCTGTATGTTTTTTGTGTGTTTGTGCATGTTTATTTAGTAGGATTTGACTCATAAATTGTCCTTTTAGGGACTTTTTTTTAATTTTACCCTTCATGTTTAATCAATTTTTTACTACAGTGATTGTAATTACATTTTAATAGCTGCTTTTATAAGAGTACTTTATTCATATCTTAGTTACTTTCCCATATTTTGATAAGAAAACTCCCTATGGGAAATAATAATTAAATAATGACTAATATTTATAGAATATTTACATATACTAGCCATGTATGATTGTTTACATAGTCTGATTTTTCCTTTAAACATCAGGAAGTAGACAAATAGCTATTAATTAAATTGCCATAGGTTACATAGGTTACATAGCCAGAAAGAGGCAACGTAAGGATTCTAAATTGTGCAGCCTTGGACCCAGAGTCCGCATTCTTAACCTATACGCCGGACTGTCTCCCTAGAGGAGATAGTTTCTTTGTAGGAAACGTAAGAAGGTGTTTAGCAGTTATTAAGGAATTTAATCTGATTCTTCTGTTGTATCAGTTTCATTGCAAAAAATCTCATTGTTGTAGATTAATTGACTTCATTGTCTACTAAAATAACTTATGGAGACCTGGACCCCTGGTTTATAGATAGGACATTAATCTCACTTTCTGAGTTGAGGTATCATGAATTAATGAAAATTAGCTGGCCTGCCGAAACCGGTTTGGCTCAATGGATAGAGCGTCGGCCTGCGGACTGAAAGGTCCCAGGTTCGATTCCGATTACGGGCATGTACCTTGGTTGTGGGCACATCCCCAGTAGGGGGGTGTGCAAGAGGCAGCTGATCAATGATCAATGTTTCTTTCTCATCGATGTTTCTAACTCTTTATCCCTCTCCCTTCCTCTCTGTAAAAAATCAGTAAAATATATTTTTTAAAAAAAGAAAAAAAGAAAGAAAATTAGCTTTGAAAATGCAAAACTGAGAAGAGCTTCAGCATGGGACTCAATCTTTTATTAATTAGTGAGTGACCATGAACTAACCTTTTTGGGCTTTATTTTATTTGTAAAACCAGAGCAGTAGCTGTTAGAAAGGTTACCTCTTTATTAATTTATTCATCAAACACTCATCAGAACGTGCTGTGCATAAAATACTTTGCTGAGTCATGTGGGGAAAACATGGCTAGAACTTGGTCCCTACCCTCCAGGAACTTATAAACTCCTGTGGGAAAAGATTCAAAGTAGCAAAAATCAAATATGTCAGCATGAAATAATTGGTAAAAGGGTCACATTATTTTGATGAAATGGTGGTATCTGAATAAAATTTGCTAAGTAGAATGGGGAGAAGAAAACACTGGTGGCTGTGGACAAGGGAACGTGATGCAGTAAAAACTTGGTGAAAAGGACCATGGCAGCTCAGGTTGGTGGAGTCCTTACCTAGACTTACTCGGTCTGGTAGTCAGCCTTCCTACCTTTTGAAGCTAGGGGATTGTGGGCAAATAATAAGCTCTTGACTTGCTCATTGAGATTCTCTCATACTTTATGGGATTAAAAGAATTAAAAGAAAGTATGTCTAAAATATCTTCATCTCAAAATTAGGACTCATTATTTTACATTATAAAAGTGTTACTTATTTTTTGCTAGAGAGAAAAATTTGACAAATCAAACTAATGTATGATCCCATCATCTAGAGATAATCACTTCGTTTTTTTTCTATGTGTGTATTTATTTAAACAAAATAGGCTCATTCATACCTTATATACTGTTTTGAAATCAGATTTTTAAAATTTATGAATCAGGGTTTTAAATGGCAATAGATATGGATTTCTCCCTTCCAGTGACTGAATAACAAAATCTATGGCTATACCATAATAATAATTGATAGGCAGATTATTATTATACTTTATTTCCTATTTGCTCAGTATTTTTTACGATAAATTCCTA